GTCGTAGTCTTCTTCGAACTTCGAAGGACGAACAACACCGCTCAGTAAGCGGCCCATGGAAGCGGAAAATATGTGAAAGTGTGTATGAAATTACTATGGAACATTCAGACGAACTTCAGTTAACAGTACCTTCAATCATTTATGCATTTAGACGGCCTCATTCCAAAAACTATTCATACCATTTTTTCCCTGGGGCCCATAGTGCATCTAGGCGGCCATTCCTGTCACCAATAGATGTACCTGCAGCTCACCAATACATTAGCAGTTGTGAATTAAGGAATGAGCCTATACAATAGTTGTAGATATGGCCTAGTTTTACCATTTTACTATAATAGGTAATAACAGAAACATGTGATCGTAAGTGACTATTCTAAAAATTCATGAAATTGCTTCAAAGAGTATACCATCGTTTTTATCATTTGAATAAACATATGTATATACTTTCTACTGCTTTTTTTTTACTAATTTCAGACTTTATTTTTTATAAGATCATACAATGCAATCAATTCTTTAAGGGGGAGGAGGTTCGAAGAACTCTGAATCTCGTCTGTGTCCTCTCCCGAATGGCATTAAGCATAAATAAGGAAGGTTTGTTTGTTTGTAAGTAAGCACAAAGCTACACAATGAACTCTCCGTGCTCTGCCCACCACGGGTATCGAAACCCGGTTTCTAGCATTGTACCCATGTTCCCAGTGACGTTCTGGCTGTATACTGTCTTACTGATTTCCAATATTTTGCATTTTCTAGCTACACCATATACTACTTTGTTTTCTAGCAGTCTTATTCCCTTTTCCCTTTTATTGTCAATGAAGATATTTCATGACTGCCATTTTCGCATAACTAGTGCAGAGGAGATCGATATCCTGTCAGTAAAGTTGTAATAGATTTAATAGAGGAGCTTCTCTTGCTAATTTCACAACTTCCTTATGTAACGTTGAAGGCACTGTTTATTCGTGTTTAATTACTTTCAAGAACCCAAATGAAAGTTTGCTTTATGGTTTCTAGTTGCATCCATTTTCTGCTTCATGTAAAATTGAATGCTCCTCTAGCCTTATGCAAAATGTTGCTGCCTCAAGACAAATGAATGCCCAAACAGCCATCTCGCTGTGTGTAAAAAAAAATTATTTTCCTATAAAATTTCGGTCGGTCTTGGTCTATTAGTTAGCGTGCCTAGGTTCGAGCTCGCTATATATGCCGCCGAAAGTGCGATGTACTTTTAACTATGTTAGTATTATAAAAATAACAATTAATTTCACTATTTGATTAAGTATAGCTGAACATAGGCGTTGTTGACTTGTTACCTTTCCCTCTGGTTCTGAATTCAAAATCAGTAAGAATATGCCAGGACTTTGGTGTTTCTGATCTGATCGTTTAGCCCAATCCCCCGATGGATAAGCAGTAAGTTTATTACTTACAACGCAAGGGTTCGAGCTTCTGCTGTGATAGCCTATTTTGTAGCTTTGAGCTAAAACAGGGAAAGAAAGAAACAAACAAACGAAAGGTTTAGCTCACGTGCCATTCAAGTTGAAAGTGCTAAGTACTATATTACAAATTTTTTGAAATCTGTTTATAGGTACAAGTTTAAACCTCATGAAAACCCCTTCTGTGCAGTTATAGGTAATTCATTAATAACACTAACTTTCAAGGCCTTCTTTGAAATCTAGATTTAACAATCATTGTGGGAGTGTGAAAATTAACGAAAATAATATATATATATAATTATGCTAAAAGCTTAGATGGCAGCACTTTACTTTGAAGAAAATGGAAGGTGCAATATCAACAAACTGTAATAGTAATAAGGTTGAAATGAATAATTGTTTTAACGTAATTATTATTGGCGCAGGAATGGCAGGAATATCTGCAGCTAGTCACTTGATAAAACATGGTGAAACTAATATAAAATTACTGGAAGCAAGAAATAGAATCGGAGGTCGCATAATATCAATTCCAATGGGTAAGTTCCTCAAGTTTCAACAGTTCAACTTTCATCTTCAAAAGAGTCATATTCAATCAAAGTATAATTAATAATAATATATTTTTTAATCGAACGTAACTTTTCATATCTTTAAAGTTTGAAGTTCAAGTTTTAAGACGCTATAAGTAGAAGTAACAAGTACCTCAACTCTATGTTATGAGTAATATTACTTATTGATATTAGTTGATATTGTACTTTTTATAGCTTACGCCCGGCAATTCGTAATTTGTCATAGATATTTATGTTGGTAAGTTGTACTAACTTTGGAAGACAGTGAGTCGTAACTGTAAGCCAAGTAACTTGGTGACTTGGTAGTATGCTCTTATAAAATAAAATGTGGTGTAATATATGTATCAAGTTAGTAATAACTAATAATAATATTGTGTAACAAATGGGTGAAAGCCAGACAGGTAAGAAAATCAACCCTGGTTGACTTAAAAATGATATTAGACAATTACTTTTTATTTGTAGCTTAGATGGCAACAAGAACTATCATTATAGCTGACATATTTTTGTTATAAGTAAAAATGTTGCTGCACCAACAGAAAAGTATCTGGACGAGATGTTAAAAAGAGTTTGATCGTTTTTGTAATGTACTCCACGTGATTATTTATTCACTATTGTACACATATCAAAAAAAGAGTTATTGTTCTATGGTTTTAAATTTTTTAAAGTAAAGTTTACAACTTTTTTTTTTAATAAGAACTTCACTCCTTAAGATAGGTTTGCCTTATTTAAGGCTTTTTATTAGGAAATTTAAAATATAAGATGAATATATAGGTATCATTTAAAAGTAGAATGAATGGAGTGGCAGTCAAAAGTATTTTTATACCCCCTGTCTTAATGTAGTTCAGTCAACTGGAACATTTACAGTTCTCTCCCTAGGCTGAATCGATGTTCAACAAACTATGAAATGATATAATTGATAAATAAGTATTGTTTAATAATCAATATTTATTAAACTATATGAATCTCCAAATAACATTGTTTCAAAAGAAGAGTTCCAATACTTTTGACTATTTCATAAAGATAAAAATATTTAGAAAATAGAAAAACTAGACATCATTTTTTTCTGGTTTTACTACTATTTAAAATGTACCCACAAAGATACAAACAGATGTAACAATAAAGTTGTAAGAATGTCATAAAAAGTCTTCAGAAGGTTGTAAACATACCATGTAGATGTCCTCATATATGGTGAGGCAAATAATCAATTAGAGATGTATCAAATTCATTTAGAGATCTCTAAATATTTAATGTTATCTTTAAAAGCCATTTCCAGATATCTCTAAATATTTGAATGTATCTTCAAATATTTAAAGATAACACAAAAAATTTAAGATTTATAAAATGTATTTATTGATACTTGAAAATGACTTATAGTTAACTTTAAATAAATCCCTGTTCCTTTAAAGATATCCTGAAATCAAGTTATCTCTAAATGATAATTTGACACTTGTAGAAATGTCAGTGACTTACAATTCTGTCACAATGTTCAAGGTACTTTCACATTTGCATTGTTACAATGTTTTATTGCAATGTTGCCACATTGAAACTACAACTTCCAATATGGTACATTATCTCTTCTCACAGATATAGCTATTCTCATTCAGTGCAACCCTCTATATGCAAAATTTTTTTCATATGCCACAGGCCTTGAGCTCCCACATTCTCAAAGATTAATGCGGTTGAATTGCATCTCACATGTAAATGATCATGTGACAACCCTCCACCAATAGGAGTGCAATACACCCTCCTGACGCATGTGACTCCCTCTATACAATTTTACTGAATATCACTTCTCGTTAAGCAGTGCTCATGTCAAGGTGTTTTTCATTATGCTTTTCAATGGTGTTTTTTTTTTAAACTTAGCAAATTTTTTTTACATTTTTTTTTCAAAGTTGAGTGAGCTGTTTTGTAATTGATTCCGTGGAATTATTAATCTCATTTTTCAAACATTTGCAAACATAAGGATAACTTTTTTCTAGTTTTTAATTTATTTATTCTAAAACTGTTGTGTTTGGTTATTAATCTTTAATGATGAATTCCAAAGTCCAGCTTATCACTTCTGAGGTAATACCATCTACAGCACACTTAAAACAGGCTGCTGCAGGTGAGGGGACCACAACTATGGAATTATCAGTTCTTATTCGAAGAGAGATTGGTCATTATATGAGTCAGCTTTTTTCTCCTGATGTTTCCCATTTTCTTCCTGACCAACTGAACCTATTTTGGATGACAAGAAATTTGACAGCCTGTTTCCTCCACCTGATTTTGCTGTGTATTCCTGTGCCCCTAGTACACAATCAACTAGACCTAATATGGCTTTTTTGGACGTGATTTCTCAAGTGTGTTCTGTTTTTCCAATTCTGAAACTCACCTTCTCTCACATTTTAGCTTTATCCTGATGAATGGTTCTCTTCTTTGCCCACGTAAGCAATGGTATGAATTCTACCTCACTAGCTTCAGTCTTTATACCCCCACTATATTGCCGCAAGTGATTTTAATTTCGTGACTCTCCACCTATGTCAATTTGCCCTCTATACCTGATCCATATATAAGCTCCTTGTTATTTCATATTCACTTTTTCTCGGTGGCAAAAATGATGAAGATGGCCTTACATGTTTACGGCTGGTTTCTCTTCAGCACTAGTACTACATTTGCAACATTTTCTTTTGAATTATCTTAGATCTCTTCGTGGGGCTTGAGTTTATTGTTTATTTTCCTGATTCCCCCTCACCCCCCAAAAATTTGGACATGTTTTTTGAATATGAATACTCATGCTCACGTCACAGTCACAGTGTCGCCTGGTGCCCCTTCTCTATCTACTACCTCATGATTTTAACATTACCTAGCCATCGGTGGGGGGTACCTTCCATGACATATAGTTCATTATATGCAGAGAGATAGAGTCTTACATGTGGTCTGATGTTCTTTCTCATGTTGGCTCTGTGGCAGAGTTTGTGGGAGATCAATAGCAGAGTAGTGAAATTTTAGACCCCTTTTTTTTTTCCAGCACTTCCTTTGCTCAGACAGCTACTCATGAACCTTGGACAGACATCCTGCCTCTTGCAGATCATTTGAGGGAGGGTTTTGTCATGTCTTGTCCTCTTCTTTTATTGGATCAATATGCCTTGGCTTTCCATCACCTGGTGAACCCTTATTTGGACTCTCAGAGTTTAAATGCTCTACTTCCTATTTAGGGCTTTAGACAAGATTCCACTGTTTATCTTAAACATTCTCAGTTTTACCGAATTTGTTGGTCATATACAACAGTTTTCCATTTTTTTATCATTTTTATAACTGTTGTCTGAGGCCTATCATAGATCCCCTTCTCAAATTTCAGAGGAACTTAATCATTTATTGACTTCCACTTTGGTTAGGTTATAGGCTTCTGCTCTTTTCTTGGTATCTTGGTTGGTTTGTTGCTGATATCTTTTTGAGAGAGATACCTTACTAGAGAGAGTATGCCATCCTGCATTGGCCCTTAGAAATCTAAGAGAAGCTCCTTTTCTCGGTTGATTTTGTGGGAATTCGAGATTCCATGGAATTTTGAGTAGATGGGGCCCATTTCCATTCTTCATTTTCTACACTGGCTTCTCGTGTATTTTATACTGAGCCCATCATGAAAGGGCGAATAAAAGTTTTTCAGATCATTGACTGTTTCCTTAAGATACCATGTAACATTAGCATGGTTTGGGCTTCTTTTTTCCAATGTAATGATACATCCTGGGAAATAAAGCATCAAATATTAGTTGAATAAAGATGCAAGAGAGCCAAATAAACATTAATTGTACTTTTTGAAAATATATGATATAAAAACATCAAAATTCTGGTAATTGAGTCTTTTTAGGGTCTTTGTACATCAATATTGTTGTAATTGGATCTTTTTTGGAGGGTCTATGTTTTGTTTTGTTTTTTTGCAGACAACCAATACAGCCTTCCAGACAACCTGTAAATTTCTTGAAAATCGAGAACTGTTCCTACTTCTAGGGGTTTCTCCACTCCTCGTATTATTTGAGAAAGATGGACTCTTCATCAACAGTATTGGTGATTAACCTGTGGGTTGTGCTCCAGTGGGAGCTCACTTGACCGATTTTGTTTTCCCGTGGCATGGTTTTGCCACAGATCTTTGAATTATTCAGGTATTATCCAAGGGACTTGTCATCCACTTCTTTTTCCCTTTTCCATTATCTCACAAGGCAATGTCTGTCTGAGGTGGTATAAAATCTTCTCTTCGAAAAAGCTGTTGAACCTGTAACTCATCCTTTTCCAGGTTTTTATTCCAGGCTGTTTGTGGTACCCAAAAAAAAAACATAGAGAGCTGAAAGCTCCATCGAATGGAGTCAAAGAAGGAAGGTTTACCCTGACTGAGATGAGTGTTGAAAAAGACACCCAAGTGGACAAGATATTGGTTTGGTACAAGGAATGACTTCTCCAGTTTGATTAACCTGAGCTGCCTTCAAAAGAAGCAGATGAGTGTGATGGATGGACTTCCTTTCAGAACAGGTTACAGTTGTCCATGTAATGGTGTAAGCGCAACCTCTGAGCATGCATATGTTGGGGAAAAGCCTCAACCACTCAATGAAGAGCATACAGGGCAAAAGTGAGCCCAAAGGGAAGGGCACAAAATTGATAACCTACCCCATGATGAACTAACCAAAAATAGTGCCTTGACCGACGAGATATACGAAAAGGCAGATAAACATTCGAGATGTTTCCCTTGGTCATCCATAGACCTGGAGAAAAATCCCACCTGAGGACCAAAAAAGACTCCAAGGTAAAATGAGACAGAACCAAAAATTTACTGTTGTGGGATAGATTGATCATAGGCTGCCAGTCCACATGGAAAGATGAAGAAAATGATCCAAAGTATGATGTACAGCCAGAAACTCCAGGATGTTAATATGGAAAGACCTCTCTGCTGTAGATCACTAACCAACAGCTTCCTGCTGACCAATCCATGCCCCCAGCCATGG